TGTGGTTTCATATGCAACTGTCTCGACATCGGTTACCTCCACTACTTCGTTGATCACGACTATCTCATATACGATATCCTCGTCCATGGCTACTCCACCCTCATGTTTGGCTACATCGACATCGGCACAAAGAGCTAGCGGCACAAAGAGCTCCTCGTCAGTGTCCACACAGCCATAATATCCTCGGCCGTTATGATTGCGGGGGATGTCAGCTCATCAGATTACTACGACCTTTAACTTCTCTCTAGTCTCACTCGCTACGTGGCTCCATTATGACTGTGAGATGATGTTAGAGTATCTTGGGATATCTTCAGACCATATAAACTTTCTTATCTCTAAAGAGGCTTCTTGTCCCCGAAGCAACGGACTCCTATATAATCCGCCCACGAGGGTCATCAATACAATCGATCTAACTGTACCAATTCTATTCCTCCTACATAGACCTTATATTAGCTTGAACTATGTGTGTTTGAGATACAAATTGGTACATACACAGAGTACTTTGGGGTATTTTTTAATTATGAAAGATGCTAGGGTAACCTAGATGCATATTTAAGAATTATTTTTATGTTCTTCTAATAATAAAAAATGTGATATTATTTCTTATAATGGTGAAGATGGTTAATTTATATGTGGGTTTGCTTTATTTTTTTATAATAGCAAAGGTGGATAGTTTAGATGAAATTTTAGGGGTTATTTTAGATTATTTTTTATAATAAAAATATTTTGGTAGCACTTTAGGACATTTCATAACAGTGGATATAGGTAATTTATAAAAGCTCTAAAGGGGCCTCTAATCAGCAATTGTAATATTGGGCAGGCAGTCCTAGTTTCAAATCTAAACACTTAAGTTCTTTTTACTGAAAATTCTGTTGGGATGGCCCCCATTGATCAGTAGAAGAAATTGTGGGCAAAACTAGTGTCTAATCCAGAAATCTTAATCCAAAATTATCTTTGTTTTTTTGTGTGCAAATTACATAGTAAGACGTAGATACCTACGAGCACTTACGTACACTCATCCATATGAATATACACATGTAATCCTATTCTTATAAGCATCTTTGAAAGATTAAGCTGACAGATCTTAAAGTTGACGAAGACACTGTAGACGTCTCGTACTTAACGGACACGTCACTTACCACAAAAAATATAACGCCGTATCAATAAATCTAGAAAAATACGAGCATACGTGAGCAGGTTCCAACAAAAAAAACCTAACAAGTTCCACGCTCTTTTGACCCAAAATCTCTTGCTCGTGCTTTCAAGATAAATGTTTCCACAAGTAGCTACCTGTTTACCGGGCGACCTTTCTCGGCCGGTGATGCGTGGGCGTGGCGATATCTTGTTCCCTGACGAATTGGCCGTCCAATGTTCGTCCAGTGCCCTTGCGTTACACGGGTCCTCACCCCTCAGTTTGTCTGCCCCAATAATATCATTCATTCTCTAGCCTCTGCGTAGGGTCACTGGATCGGATTTCTTTGTAGGGTCGAAAGAAGGAAGAACAGTACTCGTACTCTCCATGCACGCAGCACGCTAGCTACAGTTTTGAATGCTAGCTTTGGCATGGTCATCCTGTCGCACGAGCCGTGTGTCTCTGTTCCATTTGCCCAGCTCAGGGTCAGGCCAGCCGTGTGTCTGCAGTCACCTCCAGCTCCAATTATTGAATGCTTTGGCATGATCATCCTGTCATACTAGCAGAGCAGTGGCACGGCATCATCTTCGCCGCCGGCCGCCCCCTCCCCACCCCTGCAGGCTGCAGTGTCACTGTGTCAGTTAGTCAGTCAGTGAGTCAGTGTGTCACACGTGGGCCTTGTTTAGATTGACGTTAGGAATCAGTATTTGGCACTGTAGCACTTTCGTTTGTATTTGATAATTATTGTCCAATCATGACCTAACTAGGCTCAAAAGATTCGTCTCGTAATTTACAATCAAACTGTGTAATTAGTTTTTTTTATCTATATTTAATACTCCGTGCATTTGTCTAAAGATTTGATGTGATGGAGAAAAAGTGAAAAAACTTGCAATCTTAACAAGGCCATGGCTAATCCTGCAGTCCTGCTTTTCGGCGGAAGCATGGATATTCTTCTTCCAAACCGTGTGAGCCTTGCGTGTGCTCTCTCTTTCCGTTCCCCTTTATTGCAGCCTGCCAGCCTCTAAGGTTTAGTGTCATCGTTAGTGGAGGGACTGTCATTCTCCCAAGACAGTAACACACGTTAAGTTGATCACTGCACTGCACGTTACTGTGCTGTTATTATATCGTGTTGATGGTTGATCGAGTGCCCATGTTGAATACTAGACTTGCATCATTTGGTAGAACAGCACTGTAGCAAGGAGGCGGATATTGGCTTCATCATACAGAAAAGAAGGCTAAACTAGAAGCTATATGTAGGCCTGTTGGGCATAATGGGCTGTATTTTATTTTTCTTCGAGGAGACTAATGGGCTGAAAGCATGGACTTTTGGGCCAATCGTGATGTGCCTTACGACACTGCCAAGGAAATAGCAGAAACCTTTTCCGTTTCTTTTTTCCTAAGTTGTCATCTGCGTATTGTTTCATGAAGTTGCTAGGCAACGTCACCTGAAGTTGTAACCAACTCCATACATAATTGGTAGCGGGTATATTGATCCTATTTTGCAAAGCTTAGGCCTTGTTTGGATCTATGTGATTAATAATTAGTTGACTAGCTCTTAGTCCATAATGATCTAAACAGCTGGGCTAATAGATGTTCAAAAAAAAAAGGTGGGCTAATAGACGGACTAATCTTTAGCTAAGCCCCTAACAAATTGTTAGTTCACTGGTTGGCAAAACCTAGCTAATTGAGAATAGTAGGGGAGGCTTTGTAAACAAGTCGCTGTAAAATAAGTCAAGATGTTACTTCAGTCGCTGGTGAATCTTGTAGGAGTTGAGGGTGACCGGAATTGAAGGTGGAGGCTCACCCAAAAGGGGTGGAGACGGTCGAGCAGAGGTGTTGGTGATAAACGAACTTAGCATGGGTGTCCTTGGAGATGCTGGCATGGTGGTTTTGTCGGCGAAAGGAGTGGCAGATGCAGATGGGGATGGTAGGGGGGCTTGCTCCTTACTCTCTTTTCTGCTCCTATGATTTCCTCATTCCTTTCTTCTTCCTACCTCTTCCTTTTCCAAGAAAATGGAGGAGGTTAGGAGGGGAGGGGGTTTTGAGCCCCACCCGTCCCACCACTGGATCCACTCCTGGGACTGTATTTTGTCGAATCTAAAAGGGGTGGCAGTGGTCAAGCAGGTCTTATGAGTAGGAGAAAATCCCACTAAGTTGTGCTGCTTTGGCGGTGACAGCTAGGAGCAATGGTTGGGTGTGGTAGGGGAGCATTCCTCATCTCTGCATTACACTTATAGCCATTTAACACACATATACCATGTAATTATACAAAAATTTGAAATAAACTAAAAATTTAAGAATACCAAACATGAAATTGAACTTGGCCTGACTGACACCTCTAGTAGCGATTTACTATGTGCGACTGGTTTTCATTTTGTCTTAGGCTCCAACCTAGTTATTTTTTTGGATGTGGTAGTTGTTAATACTATTCTTTATAAATTTAGAGAAACTTTGGATAGTTCGATGTAAGACAAATTCAGAAATGCTTACACTTGTGAACAAAAAGAATATTTCACTAGAACATCTTTTTGCTTAGAATGAAACATTGCAGATCGAACAATTTTTTTTTGCCAAAAGAATCTGTTGGCCCAGATCTTCCATAATATTTTATCTCCCTACCTAGAACATTTTGTTTCATAGCCGGAAGATGTTTTTCGTACACAGGAATATTGCATTTCCCAAAAATAGACATGTTATAATAGTGTCTCTCTTAAAAAAAATATGTGCAATAATAATAATCTAAGAAACCTAAAATGGTTATTTGGCAAAAAAACAAGAATCCAGAACAACTACCACCAAATCTTTTTGTCCATTGCGTGTTGGGATAAAAACAGACGGAAACGGTTGAAAAATCTCTCAATGTTTTTCTACTTGTACGTTTGAATATGAAAACGAAAGCGGTAAAGCCGGATACGAAAATGAAAATGAATTATGTAATTTAGAGAATTTTAAAAACAAACTAATTCGAGCAGAATTATGTCGAACTACCAACCCATAGGACCAAGTATATAACAATTAATAAGTGCATGACCAAATGCATAACCCTTAGTCTTAGACTAAGTCTTAACACAATTGCTGACACAAAAATACTGGAACTGGAAGTCTAGAACAAGCAATTAAGTAACGACTAAAACTATGACAGGTGTAGAGGACAGGAAAGTAACTCTAGGTTTAGATTGGGTTGGGTCGTGCGCCTGTGCCTTGACAATTGAGTAGTTGAGTTGGACTTCTAGTGGGTCAAACAGCATATACCACATTTCAAAAAGAGGATATCTGAAATAAAAATCAGAAAAGTAGAAAACGGTCGGGATAACACCTAAACCGTTTCCGTCCCGATTTTGAATTTAGTAATACCGTATTTTGTATTGATTTTAGGTTTGTCCGAAAATACGAATTCGAACAGATCAAATATAGAAATATAGAAAACGATACGAGACGGTGTAGGATATTCCCGACCGTTTTCATCCGTGCACATACGTAGCAGACTTGTGTTAGTGTGTAACGCATGCAAGCAGTTCATTCGACTCATCCGAATTCCGAAATGAAGGGAGGAGAGGGCCACGCTAGAGAACAGAAGGAAATGGGGGACGGGTGGCGCATTATTCTTGTCCCGGCAAGCTGAGATCACGCACCAACCCCGTCATTCTAAATCAAGCAGCACTCGCTTGACCAAGTCTATGCGGCGCAGAGCCCGCCCGCGCCCTATGCTTGCTCCGGAGCTCTCGTTCCCTGCCGCGGCTTCTCCGTAGCCATCACTTATTATCCCTAATGCTAGCTTCGTCTATTTACTCGCTTACCCGAGCGGAGGAGAGAAGAAGCGATTGGGATTGGGGGCGAGTGCGCGCGTGCAGCCACAGGCGTCGGCACCATGTCTTTCACCGGCACGCAGGACAAGTGCACGGCGTGCGACAAGACCGTCCATTTCATCGACCTCCTCACCGCCGACGGCGTCACCTACCATAAGACATGCTTCAAGTGCAGCCACTGCAAGGGGATCCTCTCGGTACGTGCATCATGCAAATGTCCTGTCGTCCATGGCATAGAAAAACGATCGAGTTTATTTGCATCCGATGATCTCTGCATGCAAGCCACAAAAACAAGAGTTTTTCTGACGCTGCAAACCGAATGATAATGCATTGGCCTCCTGCAGATGTGCAGCTACTCTTCCATGGACGGTGTGCTGTACTGCAAGACCCACTTCGAGCAGCTCTTCAAGGAGACCGGGAGCTTCTCCAAGAAGTTCACGCCAGGTAATGCAGCACCACGACGTGATCTTCAGTTGCCACAGCAATTCTGTTTAATTTGTCGTGCCCGGAAAGAAAATTATGCTGAAAGCTTTGTTGTGTAATTCAGGTTGCAAGTCTTCAGATAAGGGTGAACTGGTACAGCTAGCCTCACAGAACTAGTATCATCATGATTGCTTTTTGGAATGTCTTTGTTTATTGTTGTAACTGGTTAAATGTTTCCAATGCAAATTGGAATCCCTTTGCACTTTGCAGTCAAGGGCCCCAAGCAAGCTATCATCTGCATTTTCTGGTACTCAGGATAAGTGTGCAGCATGCCAGAAAACAGTGTACCCGCTGGAGAAGGTACAGAAATGATGAATTTTTTCTTAGTACTTCCCAAGACCTAATAATACCAAATTGCCATACTTGTGGGAAAGAGTAACAATCAGTAATGCTAACAAAATTGTTCTGTTGTTCAGTTAACTTTGGAAGGCGAGTCCTACCACAAGAGCTGCTTCAAGTGCTCACACGGGGGCTGCATCCTGACCACCTCCTCCTACGCCGCGCTCAACGGCGTCTTGTACTGCAAGATCCACTTCGCGCAGCTGTTCATGGAGAAGGGGAGCTACAACCACATGAAGAAGAAGAGCACGTCCCAGGAGGTGCTGCCGGACGTGGCTGCCGAGGAGCAACCGCCGGAACCAGCGCCACCGCAAGATGAGAAAGGAGATGGGGACAACTAGGAGCAAGCGACCATCCATATATATATCACGCAGACAGAAGTCTGCGTTTGGCATTTTTCTTTACGACGCTTCTTTATTCCCTCCTCTCTCTTTTTTTCTTAATCTCTCTGTGAACTCGGTTTGTCATCAAGCTGTAAGTGTACCAGATGCCCTCGTTACGTCTGAGGCTCATGACAATGGCAATTTTGGCATGGAGCTGTGTTAGCCTCGCGGAAAAATTGTAACTTTGTAAGCAGAACTACTACTTTGAATATATATGATCCTAACAATGTTGTCCTTAATCCTTATAAGCAGTGTTTTAATGCTTCCCTGGGGAACTGTTTTCTACTTATCATCGATCGAAGAGTGACATTAGAAAAAGGAAATTACAGGGCTCTGAAGAGAACAGAAGGTTCCAAAGCGGTGCAGTTGTTCTATGACATAGTTCAATCATGATGCCACCACATCCACATTCGTTACATCACAGAGTATGTGAGTAACAACCCTTCAAGAGTTACACAAAGGGTGCTTCTTCTGTGCGGAAGAAGAACACGCCAGTCGGGCCTCCCTCCGGCAATAGCGCCACCGCAACGATGCAACTGGCACCGTCTTCCGCGGTGTATTCTGTTTGAATAAGTCCTTGAGCATCTAATTGTAGAAGGTAGAGGCGCCTAACGCCATTAGAGGCAGGCCACAGATTGCGGCATGGCCCAGGTGGTTGGGATGGCAACCACTGATCACGAGTATGCCGGGATTAGCAGGTCCTTTCATTTCCTTGTAACACAGCATGTAATTCCTTTATATAGTGTATGCAATCAATAGAAAACGCTGCCGCTTTGCAGCCCAAATCACAGTGTCCAGTTTGTGTTCGTGTGTGTTTTTTCATCCTCCTCATCGGAGTTCTATCAATTGGCATCGGAGCCGGTTTCTCCACCGTCGCCATGGCATCCCAGTCGCCGTCTAAGAAGAAGCCGACGGATGATGGCAGCGGTGGGAACGAGATCAAGCCCTCGCGATCGCCGCCGCGACGTCGTGGCCGTCCACACAGCCGCCGCCGCTCCAGCTCACGCGTCGTCGAGCGCGTCATCGAGCGCTCGTCCGCGAACGTCGCCTGGCCGATGCTCACGCGGACGAACTACCCGGAGTGGGCGCTGGTGATGGAGGTCAACTTCCAGACTCTTCGGGTCTGGGACGCCGTCGAGCTCGGGATTGACGAGGACCCCGACGAAGATGAGTACCAGCACGATCGACAGGCCATGGCGGGCCTCCTGCGCTCGGTTCCCTCCGAGATGTGGGGAACGCTCGGTCGCAAGCGTACCGTCAAGGAGGCGTGGGACGCCGTCAAGGTGCTCCGTATCGGCGACGACCGCGCGCGCGACGCAAGCGCGCAGCAGCTTCGCCGCGAGTTCGCGGCGCTCGTCTTCAAGGATGGCGAGACCGTCTCCGAGTTCGGGATCCGCATCACGTCGCTCGCCACCAACCTCCGCATCCTCGGCGACAATATCACGGACGCCGAGGTGGTAAAGAAACTTCTGCAGGTGGTTCCCGATCGCCTGTCTCAAGCCGCCGTCTCCCTCGAGATGTTTCTCGATCTGAACAACACGTCGATCGAGGACGTCATCGGGCGGCTGCGCGTGTTCGAGGAACGCGGCAAGCCAAAGGAGATCACGGACGGCATGGGGCGACTCCTGCTCTGTGAGGAGGACTGGGAGGCGCGTCGCAAGAGCCGTCGCAAGCAGGAGAGCTCCGGTGGCAGCGGCGGCTCCAACGGTCGCGGGAAGTACCATGGCCGCGGTCGCGGTCGTGGCGGTCAAGGCGCGACGCGCGACGACCACGACGGTCACGGCGCGGGCGCTGGCAATGCCGGTGGTGGAAAGCCGCCGCCTGGCACGGCCTGCAAGAAGTGCGGAAATAAGGGCCATTGGGCCCGAGACTGCCGTGGCAAGAAAAAGAAGGCCGCGGCCCATGTGGCCCAGGCCGAGGAGGAGGAGGAACGGGCCTTGATGTACATCGCCGCTGAGACGGAGGTAATCGTGTCGCCTGTTTCCTCTCCCCAATCCACGCCGCCGCCGCCGCCGCCCGCCGTCGATGCACGCGCGCGCGTCCACCTCGCCGAGCCCAAGGCCCTCCTTCATCTCAGGGAGGATGAGAAGGAGGTGGAGGGGCCCTGCCGCTGGGTCCTTGACACCGGAGCGACGAACCACATGTCGGGATCGCGGTCGGTCTTCGCCGAGCTGAACTCGGGCATCACCGGCACCGTCCGATTCGGCGACGGATCGGTGGTGAACATCGAGGGCAAGGGCACCGTCCTTTTCGCCTGCAAGAACGGCGAGCACCGCCAGCTGGAGGGCGTGTACTACATCCCGCGGCTCACCACCAACATCGTGAGCATCGGGCAGTTGGATGAGGACGGCTTCAAGGTCCTCATCGAGTCCGGCATCCTGCGCCTCTTCGACCTGCAACGCCAACTGCTCGCCAAGGTGGAGCGTTCCTCGAGCCGGCTCTACTTCCTCGACATGAACGTCGTCGCCCCGGTGTGTCTCACCGCGCGCGCCGGCGACGTCGCCTGGAGGTGGCATGAGCGGTTCGGGCACATCAACTTCCAGTCGCTCAGGAAGTTGGGGCGCAAGGACATGGTGCGCGGACTGCCCTCCATCGACCACGTCGAACAGGTCTGTGAAGACTGTGTGCTGGCGAAGCAGAAGCGAACGCCGTTCCCCAAGGCGGCCAAGTTCCGGGCCGCAGAACAGCTTGATCTGGTCCACGGCGACCTCTGCGGCCCCATCACGCCAGCGACACCGGCCGGGAACGTCTACTTCCTTCTACTCGTCGACGACATGAGCCGCTACATGTGGCTCACACTCCTGCGTTCCAAGGCGGACGCACCGGCGGCGATCATGTTGTTCCAAGCCCGCGTCGAGCGCGAGACGGGGAAGAAGTTGAAGGTGCTACGCACTGACAACGGTGGTGAGTTCACCTCGGTTACGTTCGGTGAATATTGTGCAGGAGAGGGGATACAACGCCACCACTCGGCTCCATACACGCCACAACAGAACGGCGTGGTGGAACGCCGAAATCAGACGGTCGTGGCGACGGCGAGGAGCATCTTGCGCGCACGGGGAGTGCCCGGCCACTTCTGGGGAGAGGCAGTGCACACCGCTGTCTTTCTCCTGAACCGGGCGCCCACGAGTGCGCTCACCGACGAGACGCCGTACCAGGCGTGGTACGGGAAGAAGCCCCCAGTGCACTTCCTCCGTGTGTTCGGCTGCGTGGCGTACATCAAGAACGTGCGCCCACACCTCGGGAAGCTTGATGATCGCGGGCGCAAGGTGGTCTTCATCGGGTACCAAGATGGCTCCAAAGCCTACCGCTTCTACGACCCGGTGGCCGAGCGCGTTCACGTCTCGCGCGATCTTTGTCTTCGACGAAGGAGCCTTGGCCGGGAATGGGGAGCACCTCGGGCGTCACCGAGCCCCACCCCTTCACCATCGCGCGGAGAGTACGAGCTGCGGCGCCATCGACGAGGACCGGCCCGAGCTGAGCTGTCTCTCCCGAGCCGCGCACGCCGGCTCCAACAGCGTCGACATCCTCCGGTCCGCGCACGACGTCGCCAGGCGCCCAGAGCGCGTCGGCGGCCTTGGGAGCGCTCTCAACACCGCAAGGGGCTGGAGCTCACGTCGAGTTCGCGACGCCGCTCACCACCGACCCGAACCTGGACGATGACGACGATGAGGTGGTACACAGGTACCGCACCCTCGACAACATCCTCGGCACGGACGCGTCACCCGGGCTGGAGCACCGCGACGCTGTTGAGGCCGAGCTCCACACTGTCAGCCACGCGGTGAGTGTGGAGGAGCCAGTCGATCAAAGAAGCCGAGGGCGATCCCAATTGGGTCGGCGCGATGGAGGAGGAGATGAAGTCGATCCGCGACAACCAGACATGGTCGCTGATCGAGCTTCCTCAGGGGCACCGCGCCATCGGCTTGAAGTGGGTGTACAAGGTCAAGCGCGATGAAAAGGGCAATATCGCCAAGTACAAGGCACGCCTCGTCGCCAAAGGCTATGTGCAGCGGCCCGGCGTCGACTTTGAAGAAGTGTTCGCTCCAATTGCACGACTCGAGTCGGTGCGGCTGGTGCTCGCCATCGCTGCCCACTTCGGCTGGGGTGTCCACCACATGGATGTCAAGTCGGCATTCTTGAACGGCGAGCTCCAAGAGGAGGTCTACGTCCATCAACCCCCCGGCTTCATCGACGACAAGCACAAGTACAAGGTGCTGCGCCTTCACAAGGCGCTCTACGGACTCCGCCAAGCGCCGAGAGCATGGAACCAGAAGCTCGACGCCGAGCTGCTGGCGCTCGGTTTCACGCGCTGCATCGACGAGCACGGGATGTATACCCGGGGCAGAGGTGCCGAGCGCCTGATCGTGGGAGTCTACGTCGATGACCTCATCATCACGGGTGGTGATGCCGACACCGTCAAGAAGTTCAAGACACAGATGCTGCGCACATTCCGCATGAGTGACCTCGGGCTCTTGTCCTACTATCTTGGACTCGAGGTCACCCAGGCGCCATGGCATCACGCTGCTGACAGAGTGCCTCGCCGCCAAAGATCCTTGAGAAGGGCGGACTGACAGGGTGCAACGCAAGTGCCACACCCATGGAGATGAAATTGAAGCTCCTAAAAGAGGGCACGACGCCGGCTGTTGACGCCACCGAGTATCGCAGTCTCATCGGCAGCCTCAGGTACCTATGTAACTCAAGGCCGGACCTAGCATATGCTGTTGGGTACCTCAGCAGGTTCATGGAAGCGCCACGACAGGAGCACCTCGCGGCAGTCAAGCGAGTCCTCCGGTATGTGGCGAGCACACGGTGCCTTTGGAGTGTGCACTACCGTCCGGCGAGAAGAAGAGAACGGCGCCCACCGACAAAGCTACTCCTCCGACAATGATTTAGCTGGGGACGTGAACGATCGCAAGAGCACAGGCGGTCTCATCTTCTTCATGGCTGGTGGACCGGTTGCT